AGCAGCTTCCCCCTCGAACTCCTCGTCGGCCTCAGGCTCTCCTGGTTCCTGGGGTTCTTCATTTGGCTCATCTGGTTGCTCGTCACAAGCTTCATCATACTCGATTCCCCAATCCTCATTAGTGAGGTAGATGACTGGTGGCGGCATCTTGAATCCAATCGCTTTGCGTCGTAGTGGCACTGGTGGTGCTGGAACCTCAGGCTGTGCTGTCTCTGCCTGCTTCAACTTCAGCTTCCTCGAGCGCTTGCTGGTGGGGTCCTTCTGTTTCTTGGGCACTGGCGGATAGACAAATCGTTCGGGTAACTGAAGCACCCACCTCCAAGCTTGATCGAGTTTCAACCTCAGACTGAGATGCAGACCAAAGTGTGCTTTACCTCCTTCGAAACATGCCGTGTCGTCCACCTTGAAGCTATCAACGAACCTTACCATTGATTCCGATAACACCATGAAATCTATCAGTCTCTTCTTTCCCAAAGTACAAGTATAATCTGCTCCATCAGCTGTGCGAATGATGCCATCGACAAGCTTGGGCCAGCCCACCTTGACTAACTCCTGCGGCTCAGCATTGAAATCTCCTATGGCCAGCCAAGGCGTGCGCAGGCACTGTATCAGCTGGCCCATCTGGATGAGCTTGTCAATGTTGGTGCCAGTCATACCTATGCCTGCAGTGAGATAAACTCCGATGATCGTGACGGCCTGGCCTCCAATCTTCAGCTGGAACGCTACCAGGTCCTTGAAGTCTATCCCCTGCTGCTTGGTGAAATCTGGCTCGTCTAACTTCCTGAGTCCCATCTGCTGGTCCTGCTTGTTGGACAGATGGCGATACGTCTGGAACTGGTACCGCTTCAAGACTCCTGCCGAGATGCCTGCTGCTCGCTTCACTCCGTGAGCTTGGTACGATGGGGCCACCAAGGCTTGGTAACCAGCTCTGTCCCACTCATGTAGGACCTCATGACACTCTTCTGGCAGGCGATGAAGTTCTGGAAATATGAGAATATCGTGAGCCCTCTCCTTCAGCAGCCCCTTGGTCGGGTAGCCCCATCCAGAGAGATTGCGCATGTACAAGCTCTTCACATCATGGGCCCCAACATCAGGAACACGTCCCCCCTCCCTGTCCCGCGCTGGCCTTGTAGCCCCCCACCAAGGCCTCCACCTCGCGCTCGAGGCGGGCCTGCTGTGGGTCCAGGCTGCCGCTTCCTCCAGCTGCAGCGGGCTGGGGAGGCGGCCTCTGGCCATCTCCTGGGTCAGGGCCTGGGGGAGACGGCGCTGATGCTGGTGCCCCACCTCCTGAGCCAGCTGCCCCAGCTTCCGCTGGAGCCTCTGGCGCCTTCCGCTTCTTCCGTGCCCGCTCCACGACGTCAGCGAGACGCGACTTATGCTCGTCGATCTTCGCCTGCAGGGCCCCGTACGACGCCTGGACTGCCTCGGACAGTGCCTTCTGCAGCTGCTGCTTGGCCTCGTCCAGCACCTTGAGGTCATCCTCCTGCACCTCGAGACCTGACAGCGACTCGAAGTTGATCTCCAGGTCCAGTTTGCCGTCCAGGACCTGCTGCACGTCGACGGTGGCCGCCGCCTTCGACGGGAGCTGAGGGAGGAACTGCTTGGCAGCTGCAATCTCCTCTCGCTCGGCGCGGTGTACCTCCTCAGTGGCCTCTTTGAGATCATTCTCGCTCTTCTCCAAGTCCCGTTTGTGGCGGATCCACGCAGCCTTGACCTTGTCCAACTGCTTCCTGGCTCTGTTGACACGGGCAGTGGCCTGCTGCAGTCCTTGTCCTGGCTGCAGCGGTGGCTTGGGGGCGGGCGCATCCAGCTCCTGCAAGATCCCCTGCGCCGCCCCTCGGACCCGTTCAGGCAGAAGCGCGGCCAGTCGGCGAAACTGTGCTGCGGGAGATTCGCTTTGGGCCAGCTGCTGCCCACCGCCACGAGGCCGCCCAGGATGAGGAGAAACAACATCATCATCAGAAAACTGACACCCACACACACACGTCCAATTCTTCGACTTGAGACGGTCCTGGAAGAGTTTTCTGCCGCAACTGCTGCACTCCACCATGGGCCTCCCTGTACGGTTCCCCCACCAACCAGACCCGAACGTACCGTTGCTGGGCTGGTAGGACGGCTGCCCTCTCGGCAAAGGTGGGTAACCGTGCCACAGGTCATCATCATCGTTCCGTCCTTTTCCATTTCCATTGCCCTTGGTCCAAGGGTTGTAGACAAACTTATTGTGCCACGGCGCATGGCGCTGCACAACCATCTGCGTGCCGTAACTGTGTCAAAACTTGGGGCGAGCCCCAATACAATACACAGATATGAGCTGTTGGGGCCGCGTGCGTCTCTGAGACGCCCCCTTGCCACAATACTCTCGTCCGCTGCAGGACCCTGAGCCACCGCTACGGACTTGAGCCAAAATGGCTACGGACACATCCATACACCAGCCCGTTCCTACACTCAAAGCTTATGCTAAGAAATCTCCCAGTAAGACGTTGAGATCCAGCTTCGCTGAATGTCTTTGCCCTCTTGCGAGAGCCAGCTTTGAAGCGTGCAGGTTCTTAGCGCAGCGCGGCACCATTCATACCATACATCCATTCACCATTGAAGAATACCTTCATACAGATGCCTTCATCCAAGCAGCCGAGAAACCCACACGTCACACACCAGTGAAATGATGCTTCCATGCATCCATCGATCCATGTCTTCCCACAAGCATCCATACACCACAATCCCATACAGGCGTCCATACATGCATGCGTTAAGTAATACATGTGTCAGGTGGGGGGGCCACCCGTAGGCCGCTCTAACCTGCCTTCAAAAACCCGTAGGAGCCCAATAGACACGAAGATCGCCCAATCCGCTCATTGCGGCACACCCGTCACGCGGATCTCGCTCCACAGGGAGCACCACACACAGCTCCAGAGACAAGGTTCGCACAGCATGCTCCCGCCCATTTCGAGACGCCCCTCGCTCGAATCGTGCACCAGAAAGAGCTCCACCTATGGCACCAATAAGCAACTTCGCGTCGCGTCCCCCCGCCCGTTTCGGCACATGCCTATACGGGTCGTACCCACCAGGGAGCTCCACCTGCGGCGTCAGCGCCCTTCGCCCGGCTCATGGTTTGCTTATTTACTGGCCTGGCCTGGGCTGCAGGTCAGGGGCTTCTTGGATACGTACCTGTTGGGGTCTCTTGGCATGCTTCTCGGGCGCCTCTTGAAGCGGAGCCTCATTTGGGCCTCTTGGGGGCCTCTTGGGGGCCTGCTAGCGGTCTAGGCGGTCCACTCGGGGCGGAGGGCTCGAAATGTGAGTTGGAGGTCCCCCTCGTGGGACCCTCCTTGGGCCATCTAAAGCCGTATTGGGCGCCCCTTGGCCCGCCCTGGGGTCTCTTGTGCCGTATTGGGGCTCTCTTGGAGGCCTCTTCGGCCGTCTTGGGGCGATGTGGGGGGCCTCTTGGGCCGTCTTGGGCGTTGTTTAAACTAAAAAATGAACGTGCTGAAAGTGCACAAAGTTTCCAAAAGGAAGGGCGCAATTTTGCCCATCCAGGACCCTCTTGGGGAAGATCTTGTAGCCTTCTCGGGGAATCTTGGGAGCCTCTTGGAGGATGTTCGGCCGTCTTGAAAGCATCTTTTTCCCAACCATTATGTGGTGTTGGGTCCTCGTTTTAAAAAGACGGTCCCCGCGTCCCTCCTCTCCTCTTCTCCTGTCCTCTCCTCCTCCTCTCCTCCCCCTAATCCTTCCTCCCTGCGTTTCACCCACCCAGTACAGCGTTTCGTGGCCCCATAGGGGGCTCCACCTAAGGTCCCAGTGGCACAAATCGTATGGCGGCGCCGCCCCATTTTGGTACACCCCTCACACATTTCGTGGCCCCATAAGGAGCTCCACCTAAGGTCCCAGTGGTGCAGTTCGCATGGCGGCGCCGCGCCATTTTCGCACCCCTCACACGTTTCGTGGCCCCATAGGGAGCTCCATCTAAGGTCCCAGTGGCGCAGTTCGCATGGCGGCGCCGCCTCATTTTGGGCACACCCCTCACACGTTTCGTGGCCCCATAGGGAGCTCCACCTAAGGGCACCATGGCGCAGTTGGCGCCGCCCCATTTTGGCACACCCCTCACACGTTTCGTGGCCCCACAGGGAGCTCCACCAGGCCCCAATGCCACCGCCCGCATGCGTCACCCACACCCATTTCGGCACACCACTTACACGTTTCGTGGCCCCCCCCAAAGGGAGCTCCACAGAAGGCCCAAGTGCCACCGCCCGCATGCGTCACCCACACACACACACACACACACACACACATTTCGTCAGACCCCTCACACGGTTCGCGAGCCCATGGGGAGCTCCAACGAAGGCCCCAATATCACCGCCCGCATCCGTCACCCATGCCCATTCCGGCACGCCCCTCACGCGCTTCGTGGCCCAAGAAGGAGCTCCACCGATGGCGCCAGTGCCACCGCCCGCATGCGTCACTCGCACTCATTTCGTCACACCCCTCACACGTCTCGTGGCCCCATAGGGAGCTCCAACGAAGGCCCCGGAGCCACCGCCCACATGCGTCACCCACGCACATTCCGGCACAGCCGTAGGGAGCTCCACCGAAGGCGACAGCGGCTGCGTTCGCATGCGCCCACCGCACTTGTTTCGGCACACCCCTCACACGCTTCGCGGCCCCATAGGAAGCTCCACCGACGGCGCCAGAAGGCTGCGCTCGCATGCGCCCACCGCACTCATTTCGGCACACCCATCACACGCTGCGTGGCCCCATACGGAATCCCACCGACGGTCAAAGTGGCTGCTTTCGCATGCGCCTACAAGACAAATCTTGGCTAACCCCTCACGCGCTTCGTGGCCACAAAGGGAATTCCACCGACGGTCCAAATGGTTGCTTTCGCATGCGCCCACCAGACAAGTTTTGGCACACCCCTTACAGGTTTCGTGGCCCTTTAGGGAGCTCCTCCGAATGCGGTGCATACAACGATGGTATTCAGAACAAATGGTTGGGGTCTTCGCCAGGCTATTTTTGTTCGCACTCGGACACCATGTCCAGAGGTAGATTTAAACGCTCGCGCACAGAAATGCCGACAGGCGCTAAGCAAAGGTATGGTAAAAAAGTTCAGCCGTGCATGGCGGTTCATGGACAGACGCGGCACTGCAAAGAGCACAGGTGCAGCGAGGGAAGGAGAGGGGAGAAGATAGCGATTAAGGCCATCTTGAAGCTATCTGAAGGCGTCTTGGGGCCCTGTTGGGCAGTTCTGGTCGCTCAATTGTGCTCCCCAGAGACGCCTTGAGCGGCCAGGGGGAGGCCCGGGAGGCCCCGGAGGGTCCAGATTAATCGGTGCCGAATAAGAGGGAGGGGGGGGGGGGGGGGAATATTGGGTGTGCCGGCCCGGGGCCCAGGCCCCTGGTACCCCGATATATTATATGATACGATACGATAGGACATGACATGATATTAAATGACGAAATTTGAAATGCAGCGACATGCTACAAAATTGCACGAGGGGGTGTTGTTCTGATGTGCGTTGATATGGTGTGATATGATATGTTACGATCAGACACGATCCGCTATGATATAATACGATATGGCTTGGTGTAGCACAGCATGGTATGATACGATCATATAAGATACGATATGCTATGGAAGTACATGGTATGATATGTATGTGCTATGGTGTGATTTGATGTAATGCGATATGATATAGCATGTCGTGTTATAAATTGATATGAAATGCCAAGATATAATTCGAAATGATACGATATGAAATGGCATGGTACAGGATGCTACGTCATGGAACTGAGTGATACGTCAGACTACAATATGGTTTGGCATGACATATGAATATGTATATGAATGTATATAAATATAAGCTCACACATAAATATACGCATGTGTGTATACATGCATACACAAATATCTGTGTGTATGTATGTATGTATGTATACACGCGCACATCGGTGGTCGCTCCCCTGGCGTCATACAGTTCGACTTCTACTGCGTAGACTTAGCAGTCGCAGTATTATTCCCAATGTTCGTATAAGTTATTGAGGTCCGAAGTGGTGGTATTATTGTTATGCTTGCTTGCAATACCGATACTACTACTAAACGAAATACTAAACATATTCCCCTTTAAAGACTATGATGATGCTTACTTGTATGTATAAAAAGACTGTCGAAGGACCCAACCATAAGCAGTTGTGAATACAGCGTTCAGGGTCCACCTTTCGACGGGCGTCCCTATGGGACCACGAGCCATGGATGCGATGGGCGGCCCGCAGCGGGAAGAGGAAATGGACGTGCGGTGGGTAGGGAGGGCACATGCGGACGCGGTCACTGTGGCCTTCATTGGAGCTCCCTATGGGGCCGCGAACCGTGTGAGGGGTGTGCCGAAATGGGCATGCGGTCGGCGGGATGGACGCATCTGAACGCTGCCGCTGGGGCCTTGGGTGGAACCCCTATGGGGCCACGAACCGTGTGAGGGGTGTGCCGAAATGGGCATGCGGTGGGCGGGGTGGACGCATGTGAACGCAACCACTGGGGCCTTGGGTGAAATCCCCATGGGCCACGAACCATGTGAGGGGTGTGCCGAAATGGGCATGCGTGAACGGGGTGGACGTATGTGAACGCGGCCATTGGGGCCTTGGGAGGAACTCCCTATGGGGCCACGAACCGTGTGAGGGGTGTGCCGAAATGGGCATGCGGTGGGCGGGGTGGACGCATGTGAACGCAACCACTGGGGCCTTGGGTGGAATCCCCATGGGCCACGAACCATGTGAGGGGTGTGCCGAAATGGGCATGCGTGAACGGGGTGGACGTATGTGAACGCGACCATTGGGGCCTTGGGTGGAACTCCCTATGGGGCCACGAACCGTGTGAGGGGTGCGCCGAAATGGGCATGCGGTGGGCGGGGTGGACGCATGTGAACGCGACCACTGGGGCCTTGGGTAGAGCTCCCTATGGGACCACAAATCGTGTGAGGGGTGTGCCGAAATGGGCATGCGGTGAACGGGGTGGACGTCTGTGAACGCTGCCACTGGGGCCTTGGGTGGAAACTCTAATGAGGCCACGGGCCGTATGAGGAATGTGCCGAAATGGGCATGCGGTGGGCGGGGTGGACGCATGTGAACACGGCCACTGGGGCTTTGGATGGAATCCCCATGGGGCCACGAACCGTGTGAGGGGTGTGCCGAAATGGGCATGCGGTGGGCGGGGTGGACGCATGTGAACGCAGCCACTGGGGCCTTGGATGGAATCCCCATGGGGCCACGAACCATGTGAGGGGTGTGCCGAAATGGGCATGCGGTGGGCGGGGTGGACGCATGTGAACGCGGCCACTGGGGCCTTCGGTGGAAACTCTAATGAGGCCACGGACCGTATGAGGAGTGTGCCGAAATGGGCATGCGGTGGGCGGGGTTGACGCATGTGAACGCAGCTTCTGGGGCCTTGGGTGGAATCCCCATGGGGCCACGAACCGTGTGAGGGGTGCGCCGAAATCGGCATGCGGTGAACGGGGTGGACGTCTGTGAACGCGGCCATTGGGGCCTTGGGTGGAACTCCCTATGGGGCCACGAACCGTGTGTGGGGTGTGCCGAAATCGGCATGCGGTGGGCGGGGTGGACGCATGTGAACGCGGCCACTGGGGCCTTCGGTGGAACTCCCTTTGAGGCCACGGACCGTGTGAGGAGTGTGCCGAAATGGGCACGCGGTGGGCGTAGTGGACGCATGTGAACGCGGCCACTGGGGCCTTGGGTGGAATCCCCATGGGGTCACGGACCGTGTGAGGGGTGTCCCGAAATGGGCATGCGGAAGGCAGAGTGCCGAAATGGACACGCGGAGGGCAGGGGCACGCATGGGAGGGGGGAGGAGGGGGAGGAGAAGAGGAGGAGAACGCGGGGCGCTCTCTTCAAAACGAGGACCCAACGCAGGATGGTTGGAAATTACTATTCGTCGGCGTCGTTAGTCCTCTTTCTCTCTCTCTCTCTCTCTCTGTCTCCCTCTCCCTCTCTCTCTCTCTTTCGTCCCACTTCTTCTCCTGCTATGCTGGCACACAAAAATGTCAAAACATTCAAAAACCTGCCCTGCACAGGAACAAGATGAAAGAAAACGTAGCCTCTGAGGGCGGGAAATTAAAAAATCTACAAAATTGTTTTATCCCTTCCCTTCTGGATGGGAAGGGGCAATTTTCCATTGAGTTCCTCCCTCCGCCCTCGGAGGCGGGGGTTGTTTCCGTATGTTTCCCGGTGCAGCGAAAGATTTGTTTGTAGTTGTTGCTTTTGTCCTGTTCTTCACGCATCCCTTTCGATCCCACGGCGCCCCTGCCCCATTTGCTTGGTTTCCTCCAGCTCTTTTTCTAAAGGAATTCTGTTGTGGGGGATTCAGATGTTGACTTCTAATATGGAATAGAACAGAATGCTCTCTTGGAAATTCTGACAATATCCTTCTTTAATAGACAGCAAGTCCTGTTGTGCGGCTTTACGCGATGCGTCCTTTATATGCGAGAATTACAAAAATATGCTGTTTGTGAAAAATGTGTTGTGTCCTGCCTCACAAATGGATCACAATAAAATCACCTGTGCGTGGGATGTCCATGTTGGTTTCTAGTGTTTCCCAGCGGAGCCGGGTGAAATTCTGTGCCCTCCGCTGAACAACAGACTGAGCTGCACTGAAAGGACTGAACTGGAAAAACACTTTTGACACCACATGTCGAAACCGTCCGGGCGCACCAACAACGGCAACTGGGCGACACATTTCACACCGCCCGCGGGAGCAACCGCAACCACAACCAAGCGACACATTTCAACCCGCCCGCGGGCGAAACCGCAAACGCATCCAGGCGACACATGTCAAGCCGCCCGCGAGCGCAACCGCAGCCGCAACCGCAACCAGGCGACACACTTCATCCCGCCCGTGGGCGCAATCGCAACCGCAACCCCAACCAGACGACACATTTCAACCGCCTGCGGGCGCAACCACAACCACAACCAAACGATACGTTTCAACCCGCCCGCGGGGGCAAGCGCAACGGCAACCAAGCGACACATCACAACTCGACCGCGGGCGCAACCGCAACCGCAACCAAACGACACAAACATTTCAACCCGCCCGCGGGCGCAACCGCAACTGCAACCGCAAACGCAATCGCAACCAGGCGACACATTTCAACCCGCCCGCGGGCGCAACCGCTCGAGGAGCAGGAGATGCATGAGCACGAAGAAGAAAATGAGGATGGAGAGGAAGACGGAGAAACTACGACAACTACGTACCACTACCAGGATGACTACTAGTACGACCACTACGACTACTACTTCTACGACATCGACATCTACTACTACTACTACTACTACTACTACTACTACTACGACTACTGCTACTACTACGACTACTACTACGACTACTACGACTACTAGTACTATTACTACTACTACTACTACTACTACTACTACTACTAATACTACTACTACTACCACTACAAATACTACTACTACTACTACTACTACTACTACTACTACTACTACTACTACTACTACTACTACTACTACGACTACTACTACTACGACTACTACTACTACTACTACTACTACTACTACTACTACTACTACTACTACTACTACTACTCCTACTACTACTACTACTACTACTACTACTACTACTACTACTACGACTACGACTACGACTACGACTACGATACGACTACGACTACGACTACTACTACTGTTACGACTACTACTACTACTACTACTACTACTACTACTACTACTACTACTACTACTACTACTACTACTACTACTAGACTACTACTACTACTAACTACTACTACTACTACTACTACTACTACTACTACTACGACTACTACTACTACTACGACTACTACTACTACTACTACTACTACTACTACTACTACTACTACTACTACTACTACTACTACTACTACTACTACTACTACGACTACTACTACTACTACTACTACTACTACTACGACTACTACTACTACTACTACTACTACTACTACGACTACTACTACTACGACTACTACTACTACTACTACTACTACTACTACTACTACTACTACTACTACTACTACTACTACTACTACTACTACTACTACTACTACTACTACTACTACTACTACTACTACTACTACTACTACTACTACTACTACTACTACTACTACTACTACTACTACTACTACTACTACTACTACTACTACTACTACTACTACTAC